CCAAATCCTCACATCCCCAAATTCTCTCATCCCCAAATTCTCACATCTCCAAATTCTCACACATCCAAATCCTCACATGTCCAAATCCTCACATCCCCAAATCCTCATACGTCCAAATTCTCACATGTCCAAATCCTCAATCCCCAAATTCTCACACCCCCAAATCGTCAACCTCCAAAATTTCCAAAAGCCCCAACTACTTCCCAACGATACTAACACCGTAAACGTAGAAGTCTCAATCCACCCCCGGAAGAGTTTCACAAAACCATGAAGCACAGTTGAAGATCTAATTCCATTACGGATGTTTGTCCCGAAAAAACTAAAGACACGTAGTCAGGAAACGTAGAAAAAAGCAAAGGCGGCATAGGAAACTGCAGACGATGGAATTTCCTTTTGCCTTCAGTACGAACGTTCGACGAGCAAAAGAAACGAAGGCACGAAGCCTCGTAGAAGACGTCGGGCCCTCCGGCGAGGCGGAGTCATTTTAAACTAGTGTCTCGTTCTTTCTAATGACTGTCATTTACCTGGGTGTCATCCTCGTGTCCTGCAACGTCCGACAATCTACGACGGCCCTTCATACTGCACGTAATCTTTTCAATGTCCGACGCAAGATGGATTCCCGACGTCATTAGGGAGCATAAAGTGTCTCTCTTTCCTTGTTCGTTCGCTTCCATGTAACCTCCTCCTTTTGCCACGGAGTCTTTTCCGTCTGCCTGCTGGAATTTGCCTCGACTCCTCCGCTTCTGTCAGCTTCGTTCTCTCTTCGCGGAGACCGGCAATAGTACCGCCAGGTGTGGCCATTTATTTCCCAGCTGGAAAAACTTACTCGTGAACGTACAAAGCTACCGTGCTCCATTATTCGCCCGATTATCACATTTTTCATCGACAATTATTCGAGCTACGTCGAACTCGTCACATTATTATACTCTGTGCTGAACGGATTTTCCTGATTGTGGATTCATTCCTGGCATTCTTAGAATTGTAGAATACTTTTAGATCTAAAGTCAGGTTCTCAGAGATTATGATTTCACAGATGGAGGGATATGAAGTGTAACACATGTGTTAGAAATTTATTATTTTTTCAAGTCCTGAAGATCAAAGAAAAATTCCAATTTCCACATCCCATAATTTCATATCCTAGATCCTAAATACCTCATGACCCAAATAACCCAGATCCTAGATACCCTAAACTACATCTCCCAAAATTCCAATTTCCTGAAGTACCAAAACTAGCAATTCCCAAAGGCATAATCGCTCCGTAAGATCTCCTGAAAGGTTAATTACCCGATTAGCAGTAAAATCGAGAGTAAATCAATCGATCGGTAAGGTTGAAACCGCGACCATCACCGCCACCCTCGATAGGCATTCGAGTCGCATGACTGTCTCGCCGCAGGTATGCAAGTTAATGCATCTACGGTATATCATATTCGAGATACACGTGTAAACGCATCCTGACTGACACGGGAATCGAAACTTTCCACCGTTCGCTGAATACGACCGCACGATGTTCAGCTGTAAAAGTAATTGTCGTTATTAGCGAGCCGTGTACTGTCTCGTGTGATTTCGCAGAACGCGCAACGCACGGGAATAAAACCGTGAAAGTAATGTTGCTAGTTTTACGTAACGAAAAGAGGAGGTTCATTAAAGTCGCTTGTATTCTGAATAAAATAATATCGAGTGAATACGTGTGCTCGTGAGCTTGTTCGATTAAATGAATCGGGCTCGGTGATAACGTTCGACAATTCGTATTTAATGACGCCTGTTTGCACGGTTCGATAGCTTGCTTTTGTTGCAATTTACCTGTTCATTTCATGATGGAGTCTATTGCATTTTCGGTGCAATTAAATTTAGTCATTTTCGTAGTTATGGAGTTTTGGGTTATTGAATTTTTGGGGGTGGTTAATTTGTGTATTCTGGAATTGATATATCTGCAATTTGTATAGTTCGAATGAATGCGTACCTAAATTCATATGTGATGAAACCATGTGTGCTGAATTTCTATGTTCCCAGTTTCTGTATCCTAAATTCCAAAATTTCCAATTCCAAAATTCCCAATTCCAAAATTTCCAATTCCAAAATTCCCAATTCCACAATTCCTAATTCCAAAATTCCCAATTCCACAATTCCCAATTCCAAAATTCCCAATTCCACAAATCCCAATTCCACAATTCCCAATTCCAAAATTTCTAATTCCATAATTCCCAATTCGGAAATTCCCAATTCCACAATTCCCAGTTCCAAGATTCCCAGTTCCACGATTCCCAATTCCAAAATTCCCAATTCCAAAATTCCTAATTCCAAAATTCCCAATTCCACAATACCAAATTCCAAAATTCCCAATTCCAAAATTCCTAATTCCAAAATTCCCAATTCCACAATTCCCAGTTCCAAGATTCCCAATTCCACGATTCCCAATTCCAAAATTCCCAATTCCAAAATTCCCAATTCCACAATACCAAATTCCAAAATTCCCAATTCCAAAATTCCCAATTCCACAATTCCCAATTCCACAATACCAAATTCCAAAATTCCCAATTCCAAAATTCCTAATTCCAAAATTCCCAATTCCACAATACCAAATTCCAAAATTCCCAATTCCAAAATTCCTAATTCCAAAATTGAATTCCAAAATTCCCAAATTCCTATATCCCAAATTCTCACATCCCCAAATCCCAACCTCCCAAAAATCTCACATCCCCAAGTCCCAACCTCCCAGAAATCTCACGTCCCCAAATCCCAACCTCCCAAAAATCTCATATTCCCAAATTCTCACATCCCCAAATCCCAATCTCCCAAAAATCTCACGTCCCCAAATTCCCACATCCCCAAATCCCAACCTCCCAAAAATCTCACGTCCCCAAATCCCAACCTCCCAAAAAATCTCCCCTCCCCAATTTCCTATGTCCCCACCACCAATCATCCAATACAACTTCGACGACATCCAACATAATATATCCTAAATTGCGATAGGTCCGGTGGTTCATCCGGCGCGCCCGGTGCTATCGTCCCATCGGCCGGTGGTCCCGGCAATCCCACGGGAGGCGGTAGAATGGCCGTCATAGGTGTCACCCGTAACGTGAGGCTCCGAAGGCGTGGAGCATCGGGATTCGGTTTTTCCCTGAGAGGCGGCAGAGAATACGCAGCTGGATTTTACGTGAGCGACGTGCAACCAGGAAGCGAGGCTCATAGAAACGGATTAAGGGTAAATGCCTGTTCTAACTTGATAGCGATCCAACCGGTTCATTCGATACGCATTAAACGATACGAATCGATGTTGCGATTGCGAAAGTGCTGGCCAGCTTTCTGCTCCATTTCGCGGCGTCTTTCGTTGGTTTCACTTTGTCAGCTTTTTTGCGCAGGTCGGCGATCAGATCATTAGGGTGAACGGGTATCCGGTGGAGGATGCGGTCCACCAGGAAGTCGCGCTACTCGCGAAGAATCAGCAAGTGCTCGTCCTCAAGATACGAAGTAATTAACCCACCTTTCTCACTCTTGAATATGCTTTTTGTACGTTGATCATGCGAACTAATTCCGACGTTGTTTCTTACAGGCGTGGGAATGATACCTGTGAAAGAGTAAGCATCGTTAAATGTGGAACGCTTAAGACCTGCTTCCTTCAGTTTTTTTTATGACGTTTTACGGTCAATGATTTTTTTAACATTTTACGACCTTATACTATTTCGTTGAACAAATATTGCCACAGATACAAGTATTGCAAATGATATTCAAGAACTGGCAATTTAAGTACAAGAAAAAAGAGACTTGTTCAAGAATGAACACTTCTCTGTATATTTGTCTATTAACCACATGCGTCCTCTTGTGTTTTAGTATAGACAAAATTTATGCAATAAAATGATTGTAGCTCAAGAACATTGTTGTACCGTTTTATAAGTAACGAGTTACAGTAGGTACAATGTTTCCACGTTTATAAAGGAACTTTATGGTTCGCACAGCAATCCAAACGATCCGGTCACCTGGCACATGGTACAACAACAACAGCAACAGCTACAGTACAACGAAACTGGTTTGGGTGCTGTGCCGAGCACTGAAGTCAGAATTCGAATTCTTGTCGGAGAGAAGGGCCGTTTAGGTTGCGGAGTGTGCAGAGGCATCGTACCCGGCCTCACCGTTCAGGTTAACCATAATTTACATTCTACGTTCATTAATTAACCAGACGTTAAACTATGCTTCCAGTACGAGCGTTTTCTGACAAATAGGCCCGGGATATTTCTCAGAATGTATTTAGCGTAAACAGGCCTTCAGACCTTTCAAACCCTGTGTAAAGAACCTTTGCATGCAAATAAAATACAATAACTTCTGGACGAGCAAATTTTTGACTCGTGTTAACATTATTAGTTTTACATTTTAGGAAGTAAAAAATCAAACTTAATTATCTTTGACATGTTGCTTTGTTTAAAATAAACCTCCGTAGATCCCCTTTACAAGTTCCCTTTTTTCTATTAATAAACAGACCCTACTCGTACGAACAAATTTGATCATATTTGTCAGGAAACACTTGAGCAGATAAATGGATAATGAGCTGAGAGAATTAACGAGGGAAAATTGATTTAGGGCACAAGAGACGACGGGCCAGCCAGAGCAGCAGGCTTGAAAGCAGGCGACGTGATAATTTGGTGCAACGGACAAAGACTAACCGATCTTCCGTTCGAACGTGCCATCGAGGTAATGAGAAGTTCTGCCATTCTGGACCTAATAGTGCAGCGACCCACGCCAAATCACCTTTACGACTGCCCGGAGCCACTGTGGACTCGTGGCTCGAGCGGTTACGACTCTGAAACCTCGAGCATGGCCGCGGCAAGTCCACAGCCTCAACAAAATTCTTCCTACTCGCCGCAGCATCACCAGGACCCAAGAATGCATCCTCGGTATCCTCGCGATGACGTCTGCAACAGAAACGGAAGGTCAGTAGCTATAAATCTTACGTGTCATATATCAGAAATATAGCTTAGCATAGTTTAGATAGCTTAGAAATTTGTAGTTTAGGTAGCATAGAAATTAAATAGGTAACTAGGTAGCATATAGAGAGAGTATATAGACTTTAGAAATTGTATAGTTGTGTATAGAAGTGGTATACATTGTAGAAATTGCAGTGTGGAGATAGCGCATAGCATGGAGATAGTGCAGAAATGGGGCAGTCATTTATCGGGATGCCACATATCAGAAATGGGGCAGTCATTTATCGAGATGCCACATATCAGAAAGGGGGAGTATAGAGATTGGGGAATGTGGAGATATGGGTACATGGAATTGAGGAATGTATAGAAATTCGGAGATGGAGACAGAAGGGGTTATGAGTATGCAAGTTGGGGAAATTACAGAGCAGGGAAATATAGAACCTTGAAGATAGAGGGAGTAGAGAATACAGAAAGGGAATATAGGAAAAGCCTAATTCACCACTGGATGCTTACGACTTAAACCGTTTACATTGCATATGTCTATGAGTGCACCACAGTATGGAAGTGAATTAGTATTGAACTAGTATTGAACTAGTAATAGTAATGAACCAGCACTGGAATTAACATGAACGGGTCGAGCGTTTATTTGTCGAAATCAGGCAAACTATCGTCCGCGCTTTACGGTACCGGATATCTATCTCGTTAGCAACCGTTATCGAGGCATCGGTGAATTTATAGTGGGAGAAAGTCGTTCTATTAATAGGACATTTCGCGATAACAATCGTTACTCCTCCACGACGAATTCCTGGCCAAACGTTCATCCTTAACCTCCTCCTTTAATTGGAATTAGAAAGTACCACGTGCGCTTCGTGAACAATTAAACACGTGTTCACCAATATTTCAGGATCTGCTGCCCGCTTGCTTTGTCCACCAGCAGTTGCAGTTCCTCGGAGTGGCCCAACACTGATCAGGTAAATAAGTTATGACAAAATTTCGCTGTAAAAAAATTAAGAGTGGAAGAATGACAAGTTACGTATTCACAGGGGCAAGAGTGGACACGAAAACCAAATAACACCACCGTGATTCGTATAAATCAGAACCAGAATCAAAACCATAGGTTTATGGGAGGACCGGGTCGCCCGAATTCGCGTGACGCTTACGAGGATGACATCGACAACGAGCCACTTTACGATCCCGTGGCTCCTAGGATCGATTACGAGGTCCATGATTTTGATGCCAATCCACGTGACGAGGCTAATCGTCGTTTGGCGTATCGACGGGATAATATCAGGCAGGATGTCATTTATGATGGACCTGCCGATGATATTCCACCGTATCACGCTCCCAAAGTAAGTATATTCTCACATATTTATCTTCTGCTAAAATGTAGACGTCATCAGATAACTTATCGTAGCGTAGTTATATCTATTACTGAATTTCATGTGTAAACACATTGTCATATTATTTATAATGTAGTCAGAATTATGTCTATCATGTAATTGTACAATTTCATATGTATCATGCAATTATAATTATGTCTCTTATACGTCCATGAATTGATCAAATCATTATCGTACAATTTAGTGAAAGAGTAACATGTCACCCATTTTGTAATCGCAACAATTCAAAATGGCCGCATCAACGCCAATTCAATATTCCTACCCTTCATTCCTACATTTAATATCGATACTCAAAATGTATTTCATCGAAACAAATATGTGAATGAAATATTTTTAGCCAAGAAAGTTTAAGGAACAAAATAGAAAGGATCCTTGTAAATTGATAATTAACGAACGCTCGAAACGCGCTTTCTAACTCCGAGTCCTCTCATAACCGGCTATTAGGTCGAATTAGCGTGATTTATCTAATTACACAGCGAAACTATGATATTTCTATATATGTAGGAGACTGAGCGTTATTTGATCTTGTTCCAGGAAAATGGCACGCAAGAAGGAGAAAGGAAAACGGTGACGACAGTGGAGGTTCATCAATCAGTGTGTCCACCTGCACCTCCGCCACCGCTTCCTTATAAATGGCCTGCAGGTTTGTTAATTAATTTTACTGACACCTTCATTAAAATATGGATTACATCTACGAGGAAAATGAGACGTAAGATGTATCAGACAAAAATTTTCAAATTGAAAGCTCACCAGAGTTTGAAGTTTCCAAATTCTTCAAGTTCCTGAATTTCTAAATTCCCAAACAACAGCAAAGCTTTCTGATACAATTGCTATCCCAGAAAGTACTTTACGGTTGCCATAAAGGGACACAATGTTTTACAGAAACGAAGCCAATGAACGCCATGGGTATGCAAATGGGTAGTACGATGTCGATGGGTAGCACAGGCTCGACGGAAACCGAGTCGAGCCTGGAGTCGTCCTGCAGCAAAGATTCAGCTTCGACGTCCTCGTCGCTGTCGACGTCCTCTTGCGAGCCTCCGTCGACGGTTTCTTACGGTTCGATGACTGCCACCTCGACCGGGACCAATAAAACCAACGACACAGCGACCACCGCACACCCGACGTCCCGCAATTGCGCCACAAGGACATCGCCGATCGCCTGCACCGACCTAAGCACCGCCATAACGCAAGAATTGCAGAGGCGGGCGCAGCAGGTACGATCATGGGATCTTCCTTTTTTCTTTTATGAAACCGAGTAATACGCCGATCCACGCACCGCGTGTGTATCGCGTTACTCGGTTTGCTCGCGAGCATTACTGGTTGCGTTACTGGAATGCCGATTTTTCAACCGATCGATCCTCGCCGACCAGATTCTACGATTCCTTTCTCCGATCTTGCGGACGTTTATTACTTGCCGTTTTGGTACAGTCTACACAAGCTCGTACAAACTATTTTCATGATAACTTTCTTCATTTTAAGTGATGACTGACCGAACTGTTATTTTAAAGATATAATAACCTTGTTCATTAAGTCTTAGGTCTGACTAAATTGTTATTTCAGACATGTTCATATAATAACCTTGCTCGTTAAGTGTCAGAACTGACTAAATTGTTACTTCAAACGTATTCGTGTAATAACTTTGTTTATTAAGTCTCAGAACTGACTAAATTGTTATTTCAAACATATGCATATAATAAACTTGTTCATTAAGGTTAGAACCATCTGTCAGAACTGACTAAATTATTATTTTAAACATTTTGATATAATAACCTTGCTAGTCTTAAGTTGAAGTACAGTCTGTCCACAGTGACTGAACGAACTATTACTTTAAAGATAGTGGCTTAATGACTTTGTTTATTACTGTCGTTGAAGTACTGTCAGTCCAAACTGTTATTTTAGAGATATTGATTTAACAACCTTGTTTATTGCTTCTCGTTTAAATACAGTCTGTCCAAACTCAGTATACTGCTATTTTTATGAGACTGATTTAGTAACCTTGCACAATACTTCTCGTTTAAGTGCAGTTTGTCCAAAATCAGTGTAGGTATCGTTATTTATTATGGTACTGATGTAATCACATTACAGTTTGAAAAATCTTGAAGATATGTTCATCCACAGATTATACACTTTTGAAGCAAATATTAGTACCTTAGTTGTGAACAGAACATAGATACATGTATATATCTTGTAGTAGGATGTTAAACCTTGTATTTCAACATTATAGTCTTATCTTCAGGTACAGTAATGGTTATTTAGAATAAAAAGTTCCTAGAACATCGTGATTCGTACTGATTATCTTGCAAGATAACGCATTATCTCTGAAGATAACGATTGTCTTTATAGTTCGTTTCCAAGATAACTGCAACGAATTATTGCAAGATTAAATAATTTCGTCTTGCAAGAAATTGGAAACTGTTATCTCGAGTTATCGATTATGACGTAGATACCCCCTCGTAATAAGGATGACTAAGTCGACCAGTGTTTCACGAGACACCGTACTGTCGATACGTAGATAGGATTACGGATATTTGTGATTTATAGAGGAGCATGAACAACGCTGCTAAGACGGAAGCCGCGAACAAGGAGAAGAATATGGAGCCACGGAAGCCGCAGAATCCGGAAGCTTTGCGGGCGCAGGAACAGAAAGTCACGCATGACAAGGTCAGTAACCTATGAGATATAGTTTCTCGTTTGCGTGTGAATTTATGTCTGGAACATTTGGTAGGGATTTAGGGATTTGGAGATTTGGGGATTTGGAGATTTGGAGCTTCAAGGATTTGAAGAGTTAGGAATTTGGGGATTTAGGGATTTGGGAATTTAGAAATTTAAGGCTTTAAGGATTTGGAGATTTGGAGCTTCAAGGATTTGAAGATTTAGAAATTTGGGGATTTAGGGATTTGGAAGTTTAGGGATTTAGGGATTTGGGAATTTAGAGCTTTAAGGATTTGGAGATTTAGAGATTTGGGGATTTGGAGATTTGGAGCTTCAAGGATTTGAAGATTTAGGAATTTGGGGATTTAGGGATTTGGAAGTTTAGAGATTTAGGGATTTGGGAATTTAGAAATTTAGAGCTTTAAGGATTTGGAGATTTAGGGATATGGGAATTTAGAAATTTAGAGCTTTAAGGATTTGGAGATTTAGGGATTTGGGAATTTAGAAATTTAGAGCTTTAAGGATTTGGAGATTTAGAGATTCATGAATTTAGAGTTTTAAGGATTTTGAGATATAGGGATTTGGAGATTTAAGGATTTGAGAATTTGGTTATTTGACACTTTAGAGATTTGACAATTTGGATATTTGAAGATTCAGAGATTTGAACTTGAGTATTTGATGGTTTAGATTAGATATTTGGACATTTGGGTATTCAGAGATTTAAGGCTTTGAGAGTTCAGTATTTGGGAATTTAGATATCTGAGACCTTATATATTTAAAGCTTCAAGAATTTGACAATATAGAAATTTGAGAATCTGGAAAGTTGAAGAGATGAACATTTAAAAATTTGACTATTAAAAAGTGCCAAATTGAATGTTTAAGAATTTGACAAATTAAAAAGTGTCAATTTAAATGTTTAAGAGTTTCACAAATTAAAAATTGCCAATTTGAATGTTTAAAACCTTGACAAATTAAAAACTGCCAATTTGAATATTTAAAACCTTGACAAATTAAAAACTGCCAATTTGAATATTTAAAACTTGACAAATTAAAAATTTAAGAGTTTCACAAATTAAAAATTGCCAATTTGAATGTTTAAAACCTTGACAAATTAAAAATTGCCAATTTGAATATTTAAAACCTTGACAAATTAAAAAGTACCAATTTAATGTTTAACAATTTAACAAACCTTGACAACACAAAAATGTACAGTATACACCTCGTTCATAAAGTCAGTATAAGAACACTCGAAAATCCATACTAATTGTGAGAAACGGATAAAAGTATATCCTCAATAAATCGCAATAATGATTCCTTCCATATATCACCTCCGTTCGCAGCGAGTTAATTCAACTCTCTGACCCTCCAATTAAACTCGATTACACGCATTGACTTGATCGCGCTTTTAATGCGATTATACTAACACAAAGGACGCGAATCATTCTACCCTTAACGTGAGAACCAGATGTTGTTATCAGCAACACCCACTCAATCTCTTCCTATCTCGAACACTTGTACGTATCAGTGCAAAAGGTTCATTCGCTTCCAACGTTGCTTAATTGCCCGTGTAATTAATTGTCCATTACGTTGTACATCAACTTTAATAGCAATCGACGTTCGATCGCTGCTACAAAAAGTGATATGCACTCTAATAGAAGAACTCTTACTTTTCTAATGAACATGAGATACAAAAATGAAAAGAGGTAATAGACGTCGTTAAAGACGTTGTTGAAACGCGCGGTAATAACGAGTAGAGAGTCGATCTAATTAAAAATTATTGCACGATGTTGCGAGCTATCGAAGTTTCGTTGATGAACGCCCGAAACGTGGATTCACAGGCGCTGCTCGCTCCACTACGCTCCAGACTTCAGTTTATAACCGAACGCGGATAAAGCTGGCTGCACTCGCTACTTTAACGTGTACCATTCTTTTTGTGGAGCCTTTTGCAAGTTTACAAGTGAAATTGCACTGGTTACTTTTACGTGCGACTTTTTCACGCTGTTCTTGCGGTATGAAATATCTCAGGTGCTCTTTATATGTGATGGTAGTTTCATTTTAAGTTTCTATAGTGTTTCTAAATCCTTTATACTCTATATTTCTGAAATTGTTAAGCAAACTTCAGATTTTCGAGTTTTAGAATTTTTTATTTTTATGTTGTCAAGTATTTGGATGTTAAGATTTTTAAATGATGAAATTATCAAGTCCTAAGTCCCAAATTTCGTAGGTTCCAAATTTCTCAAGTCCCAAATTTCCCAAGTCCCAAATTTTCCAAATTCCAAATTTCCCAAATTCCAAATTTCTCAAGTGTCAAATCTCCCAAGTCCCAAATTTTCCAAATTCCAAATTTCCCAAGTTCCAAATTTACCAAATTCCAAATTTCTCAAGTGTCAAATCTCCCAAGTCCCAAATTTCCTAAGTCCCAAATTTCCCAAGTCCCAAATTTCCTAAGTCCCAAATCTCCCAAGTCCCAAATTTTCCAAATTCCAAATTTCCCAAGTTTCAAATTTCCCAAATTCCAAATTTCTCAAGTGTCAAATCTCCTAATTCCCAAATTTCTCAAGTGTCAAATCTCCCAAGTCTCAAATTTCCCAAGTCCTAAATTTCCTAAGTCCCAAATTTCCCAAGTCCCAAATCTCCCAAGTCCCAAATTTCCCAAATTCCAAATTTCTCAAGTGTCAAATCTCCCAATTCCCAAATTTCTCAAGTGTCAAATCTCCCAAGTCCCAAATCTCCCAAGTCCCAAATCTCCCAAATCCCAAATTTCCCAAATCCCAAATCCCCCAAGTCCCAAATCTCCCAAGTCCCAAATCTCCCAAGTCCCAAATCTCCCAAGTCCCAAATCTCCCAAGTCCCAAATTTCCCAAGTCCCAAATTTCCTAAGTCCCAAATCTCCCAAATCCCCAAATCCCCAAATCCCTAAATCCCCAAATCTCACCTAATAAAACCACCTGAAATCACCACATTCTCTTCATAAAAAAAAAAATCAGTACCAACGATGATGATTTTAAAGAAGCAAACTAAGGCACGTTTTAAATTGTTTGCAGTTGATGGAAGAATTCAAGCGTGCTCACCGAAAGATGTTCAACTCCACTCAGCAAAAAGTTCATTTTTCAGATCAGACACCGGAGCAGGTAAGAGAATGATAAGCTTATCTTTATGGTAAATTAGCGTTCCTTTCGTATACCACAGTACGTGATCCTTTTTCAATATTTTTTTTTAAATCATTCTCCACATCTATTCACACCTGTGTTATTAATAATCTGGTGCACTGTGCAACAATGTTCGTTTCTTAAATTTCTGTAAATTTTTAAATTTCGCGAACGGAATGTTTGCTTTTATAATAATATCGATGATGAATTGTGTTATTGTGTTTGCAAAAGATAATTAGCTAGGAAACTTTTGTAAGTATACTTCAAAATTGTATTCATTAGACTGAATTAACATTTACATTGTATTCAATTGCATTGTGTTAGTAGACCACTTTTGATCAAATTCTCAAGCGTGTCAAATATAATTGCGTATTTTATGATACTCATTTTTTACGGAACACAAATTACGGAAATCTCAGAATTTTTAACCTGTTCACAGGATTAAAATGATTTTCTACTGATCCAAATATTTTAACTAATTGTATTTCATCAAGATTTTCGATCATCAGTGATCTAATCGCGAATTTGATGATCTAACAGAAAGATTGTTCGATAACGATCTTGCGTCGTCAAGATGGCGATTTTCAAAGAGATTCTAATCGTATGCACAGGATATTTAGCATAGCCATTTAGTATACTTTCACCGTCCTTTCTTCGTCTACCAGCATCTAATTAAAGAAAAGATCTCGAGCGTAGGTAAAATTCCTCGGACGCGATCGCGGAGGGCGATGCTCGGAAAAAGCGGAAACTAGGAATAACCGACGAGCGTCTAATTAAAAATCTTATTAGCACCACGTGGAATTAAATTTGCAACGAAAGAGAAAGAAACGAAGGAAAAAAAAGGGAAACGTATCTCGAGCAAACTCACTGCTTGGCAACCGAGGCAAATTAAATATTGATATAAAAGAGAAAAAAAGTGGGGGAAAATATAAAGGCAAATACGGTCTCTTTCGCTTCGACGATATTCAGCCACGGTTTCTTACGATGGTAATTACACAACCACCGAGGAGATCTGCCAAAGCAAACTCGAAAGATAAAGACTCGAAATTACAAAGACTTCGGAACAGTCATTGTTTGACGCTCGAAAGAAACTGAACTCGCGAGCGCACCGGTGCTCAGCTGCGGTTCAATTTATGTACGAGCCACGTTTCTTAAGTGCGTATCTTTCTGCATCGTTCCTGCGATGAGATAATATTCGTATCTTACGATCACGCTTGTTTTTCGTGCGTTTCCGTTCGGATCGATCGCGATAAAGGTGAAGATACGTGTGAATTGATTTTAAAATCTTCGAGATTCTGTGCTTCATTTGTATCATACATAGAAGTGATATCTTGGAAGCAGATTTCAGGACGATATTAAAAAAAAACATGTTAAAAATGTGGCATTAAAACTGAGGTTCTATAATGTTTATGTCTGACAGACCTAAAGTCAAAACCTTCTGATGTTATCCTAAAAACCAACATCACAATTGTCCAACAATTCAAACGCCTATATTCCTGAAGTCAAAAATCCTTTACTCCTAGCATTCTAAAAATTCTAAGTCTCATTATCTTCAAGTCTGGACATCACCAAGTACTAAACTTCAGATGTCATATCCTAAAAACCAAAATTGCAATAGTCTAACAATTTACACACCTATACTCCTAAACTCAAAAATCCTTTACTCCTAGCATTCTAAAAATTCTAAGTCTCCTCATCTTCAAGTCTGGACATCACCAAGTCCCAAACTTCTGATGTTATCCTAAAAACCAAAATTGCAATAGTCCAACAATTCAAACACCTATGTTCCCACAGTCAAAAATCCTATACTTCTAGTATTGCAAAATTTCTAAGTCTCCTCATCTTCAAGTCTGGACATCACCAAGTACCAAACTTCAGATGTCATATCTTAAAAACCAAACTTGCAATAGTCTAACAATTCACACACCTATATTCCTAAACTCAAAAATCCTATACCTCTAGCATTGTAAAATTTCTAAGTCTCCTCATCTTCAAGTCTGGACATCACGAAGTCCCAAACTTCAGGTGTCATATCCTAAAAACCAAAATTGCAAGAGTCCAACAATTCAAACACCTATGTTCCCACAGTCAAAAATCCTATACTTCTAGTGTTCCAAAATTTCTAAATCCCCTTATCTTCAAGTCTGGACGTCTCCAGGTCCCAAACTTCTGATGTTATCCTAAAAACCAAAATTGCAATAGTCCAACAATTCAAACACCTATGTTCCTACAGTCAAAAATCCTATACTCCTAGTGTTCCAAAATTTCTAAGTCCCCTTATCATCAAGTCTGAAAAGTCTTCAAGTCCCGAAGTCCCACAATAAAATGCAAAACTACCACTTTCTGGGTATTCCCAAAACCTTCAATTTCTTACGTATTTCCCTCTTAAGGACCCCGCCATCTGTAATCAGAATTGTGTCCGTCCGAATCCACCAAATTCACCAAATCCACCAAATCGAGACTACGAAGCATAACCACCTAATTAAGCCGATGAACGATAACAGTGTACCAGTGAAGGCTTTCTAAATCGAATCCCAGGTTCCCTCGATTTCATTAATTAACGATCTGCCAATCGCTAGATTATCGTTACAAATGCCAATCGAACAGTTTTCTTTCTTCGATTACGTTCAATGCTCCTACGGAAAAAGTTTGTATGTATGTTCGTCGCGGTTACATAATCGAGTTATCAGGCAATCAAACGTATTTATTAGACGGTTCAGTAATTTATCAATCATCGGCCTCGCTGCCACGAATACGTCCGCTTCTTCCACGGTTTTCCCTATCCGACCGCATCTTACAATTTGCGGCAAAAGTGCAAAATAATAGAGTTTATGTAACTGCTCGAGGAGCTCGTGACTTCAGTCGACTCGAGTGCGGCGTGCGATCGGTTTCAAGGTGGTCATCGAGCTAATACCGCGAATGTAATTAAATAAAAAGTGTGATCTGACCACAAAAACTCTTTATGGAATATAACAAGCTACTTGGAAGAATAACGTAGTGATCGTGTGTGGTTTAAGAACGTTATTAGACTGGCAATTAAGTGACGATAACGCTGCAAGTTACGCATCGCTGCCGGAAAGGAAAGTTAATAGAAAAAATGGTAGCGAAGCTTTGAAAACATGAACCATCGAAACAGTGAACGGAAGAGAAGCGGAGTGTTGGTTACCATTACGCCGTACAATGTTAGTTACGTTTTGTGATATTTCACGTTTCTGATTAATATTGTAGCGCTGAAAGGAACGTTAATTTACGTGTTGTGGATAACAATAATTAATGGATATCGATAGCATCGCCTTAACATTTCAACGCAATGTACAAGATTTATTACCTCTCGTAATTTCAAAGAAATTGAACAAATATTTTAAATACACAAGTTTTCAAATTTTCAATTTGACACTTTGTAAATTCAATTCATAATTTCATTAACGTAGATATAGTAGTTCTTTTAATTGCTTCATTCTCACGCTATAGAGTTAAAGTTAAAGAAAGTGTAAAACGTAATCAAACAAGTCCTACTTTATAAATGCACTTGCGATTCCTAGGTTCATTACCGCAGGTCATATTTAATGATCAGACTGCGAATGTTCACGCATTTATAATACACGAGGTCTGCAAAAGATGAATAAATCATACACATAAATTATTCTGTAAATTATATTTACTACTATATGCTACTATAAATATACTATGTATGTTTGCTACGTTAGAAATGCATAAACATCCATGGTCTACTAACTACTTAAATTATACAGGAGGAATATTCATATACATATATCAGATTAACAAACAAATTTATGAGTAAAGAATTATCAATGACTGTCCACTATTTAAAATACAGTTTAAGTTCAGTACTATTTAAAGTACATCCAAAATAAACATTTTACTTTATTTTATAATTAAAACACTTAACCTCACATTCTTTATTTTGCAAACTAAAATATGCAAGTATTTTGCTAACTAAAATATCGAACATTAAACAGGAACAGGAGAAAAGGGTGTTAAACACAGCACCAGCAACAATTCCCCCGGCACCACCCGCACCTCCAGCACCCCCAGCACCCCCAGCACCCCCGGCGCCTCCCGCTCCTCCCCTTCCGCTTCCTTCCAAAGCCAAAACCAACGAGGACTCCGTAGAGATGCAAAGTATCGAGTCCTTCAAATTAAAAGAAGCGAACCCAGTGATTCCGAAACCACCGCCAACCTATTTCCCCATCCAAAATTCCGCGCCGACGTCGAACGGAAGTCCTCGACACACCGGAAGCAAGCCGCAGGTTAACGGAAAGGAATCCACGAGTCCTGTAGAAAGTTCGAAGACAATACCCGCACCTCCGAACCCACAGAACTTGAAACCTGCCGCTGGAAAAGTGGCTATTAGAATAGGAGCGTACGAAGGAGAGGCTAAACAACCCTCCAAGTTGGACTTCCTGTCGCAGCAGCGATCGGAGAGGAACGGAAATGACGAACTGGCGAACGGGCCAGTGGTCTCCAGGTTGCAGAACGAGCTCGCTGCCACGTTGCAGAGATCGAATCTAAGGAAAAAGACTGACGGGGTGAGTTGGATGTATTAACTTTGGTGGAACTGTTATTGGAATATGAACTGTGGAAACAGAGCGGAAGTGTGTTAATGAAGATATGCAGTTACTATCGCTCGTAGATAACGGTACCGGCTTTCGCAATGTTGTGGAATATATTTGTTCCGAGAACAAAGGTGTCCATATTTATTGTATGAATTGCTTTTCCAACAGACTTCTAATTTATTTTAGGAATTTCTAAATTTTTTAATTTCTTAGAGGAACGATTTTTGAAAATTTCCAATATTGCTAAAGAAACAACCCAATACTGACCGAAAGAAGCTTCCTATTAATAAACATGAAAAAGTCGGGCAATAATTGTATTATCTTATTGCCAAGTTCCAAATTTTCCAAATTCCAAATTTCCCAAGTCCCAAATTTCCCAAATTCCAAATTTCTCAGTTCCCAAATTTATCAAATGCCAAATTTCCTAAGTCCCAAATTTTCCAAATTCCAAATTTCCCAAGTCCTAAATTTCCCAAATTCCAAATTTCTCAAGTGTCAAATCTCCCAAGTCCCAAGTTTCCCAAATTCTAAATTTCTCAGTTCCCAAATTTCTCAAATGCCAAATTTCCCAAGTCCCAAATTTCCCAAATTCCAAATTTCTCAATTCCCAAATTTCTCAAGTGTCAAATCTCCCAAGTCCCAAATTTCCCAAGTTCCAAACTTCTCAAGTCTCAAATCTCCCAAGTCCCAAGTTCCCTAAGTTCCAAGTTTCCCAAATTCCAAATTTCTCAAGTGTCAAATCTCCCAA